GCTACAGCCAGGCTCAGGAGCTGCTACAGCCAGGCTCAGGAGCTGCTGCAGCCAGGCTCAGGAGCGGCTATTACCAGGCCCAAGAACTGCAATAACCAAGCCTAGGAGCTGCTAAAACCAGTCCCAGGAGCTGCAACAATCTGGTCCAGGACTGATGCTACCAACATCAGCTTTTTCTTCAACATAAACGGAAATGGTGAAAAGAAATGTGAAGCAAAGTCGACCGATGACTGAGGAAGAGTTTGAGGAGATAAAGAAATCCTTGGATTTTATGTCTGATGAGATAGCAAAAATTTCACAGCAACAAAAACTCAATGGAATTAATGAGGAAAGTTAAAGAATTGAAGAGACAGCATATTGAAAAAGACAAGCTCTCTTGGAACATCGTGTGGCTGACTTAGAACAATATAGTCGAATGAATGATGTAATTATTGGGCTGGAAACCAAGCCAGGATCATATGCTCAAGTGGTGACAGACAAATACTAATGAAGAAATGGATGAAGACTAGGGATCCCTTGAAAAACAGGTAATAACATTCTTCAGTAATAAGGGCATTGCCATTGATAACAGTACCGTCGAAGCTTGTCATTCTCTTCCACCAAAAAACAAAAGGAGTTAAACGAGCCATTCTAACCCGGTTTGCCAATAGGAAACATAAAAATGTGCTCCTAAAACAAGGGAGGAAATTAAAAGGATCCAATGTCTATGTAAATGAACATCTTACAAAGATCAACACAGATATAGCAAGACGAGCACATTTTCTCAGAAAGCAAAAGAAAATACAGTCAACATGGACCACAAACTGTAAAGTGTACATCAAATTAAATGGTTCACCTGAGAAAGCCAAGGTTCTGCCTATCAGACAAATGGAAGAGCTGGATAAATATCAGTAATACAAGATGGAACAAGGTAACTTCTGCTCAACTTTGTGAAATCCAGTAATATAGACATGAACATGAAGTAAACCAAACATAATAAGGAAATTATCAAACTTGTATTGACTGAAACTGAGTGCAATTATGACAAAACAACTAATCGAAGAACTGAACACCTTCATTTACATTGAACATGAAGTAGTGGATATAGAAAACAATATTGATCTATGGTGGAAATGTAATTTTAAAATATGGACACTTACGAAGACTTAAGAGTTAAAAATATACAATGTGAATCATATTTTTTCATTTTTTTTTTCATTTAGCCTTTATTTATCCAGGTTAGTCTCATTGAGCCACGAGAACTCATTTTCAAGAGAGACCTGTTTAGGGAGCACATGGTGGGGGTTAATACAAATCTTTTTTTTTAATTTGTTTTTAAAAACGAGGGTCATTATAACCATAAGGGAATGGAAATGTTTGTAAAACCTCCATTTAGAACTAGTCTGAAGGAGCTGTGTTGTAATTCAGGGAATAGGATTGTGGAATTGCCTCGATATCACTATAAAAATTTCAAAAACAATTTATGTTTAAAAAGATGATTAAGTTAAAGTTGTTAGGAAAGTATGATACCATGTGAAGAATACCTGATGGTTTTTTGTTTTCACTTTGGGGTTCAAGCCAGAGTTGTTTGTTCGTAGTTATTTTATATATTTTTTTAAATAAGGGGCAGATATTATAAGATTTTTTTTCCTTCTTTCTGCACCCTTTTCATTCAATGCTTTTTTTCTTTTTGGTGAATTTGTTTTGTTGATTTTAAATGAATGAATAAATGACATTGCTATTTCTTCAGTAGTAAGGTAGAATTACTGGAGGTGTTGCGTTTCACAGAAGAAGTCCCATTCATGCCACTGGCCCCGTTCTTCTTGGGCTGATTCTTTGGCTCCATCTTCTGCTTCGATCCGACACCATTGCTTGTTACGCCCTTCTTTCCTTTCAACTACATAAAGAACAAAAAGAAGGCCTGTTTAAATAACTCACAATATCGTAGGACTAATCATTTTAGCTGTGTTGTTCTGTCTAATAGTTATCAATAGTAGCTTATCAGTGTGGAGAAAGAGCTAAAAGACTTCATTCAGGCTAGGCTAACGGCTAGCTAAAAGAGTTTGTGGGTTTTTAAATGCTTATAAAACAATTCAAGGTTCAAGGTTCTTTATTGTCATTCACATCACATGTGATACATGAGGTAGAAAGAAATTGTGTACACAGGGTCCCAGTTACATCCAACAACAGCAAAAATATAAATGATAAAAAAAACTGTAATAAGGATCTAAGATATAAACTAAGAAATAAGCTAAACAAAGAAATAGCCTAAACACTAATAGTGCAAAACAATACACTGAACAGCAGCACCAACATGAGTCTGTGTGAGTAGATGAGTACAAATGAATACAGCACCATGAAATAATCAGCAGCATGAGATCAGCAGCACATATCAACAATCAATGGCATTACATAGTTATTTTTTGGTTGTTTTTTTCATAATCCTGGTTAGGGATTTATGTGTCTAACAGACTCAGGGAAGTAGGGCAAAAAGTGTGTGTGCTGGGTGAGTGGGGTCCTTCATGATGCAAGTGTGCCTCCTCCTGCATCTGGAGGTGTAGACTAGATGATGACATTTTTTCGGGAGTACCGCCGGTCACGTGATTCCGGCCGGATTCCTGCGGGACCGGAGTCAACCTCATTATAACTCACGTAACCGGGATGTGACTGGACTGAAAGCTAATGGGAGCAGACAGGAGCGGGAACCAACCAATAACCAAAAATGAAAATGAAACAAACAAACAAAACAAAAAAAAAACCATGGGCGCAGCTTTTTTGTAGTTTTCTTTCAGTAAGCCTTCACTTTAACACAAGTCAAAAGGACTACATTTCCCAGGAGTCAACTGTTTGAGCCGTAGCGTTTCACCGAGAGGGGGAGGAGCAGCGAGCGAAGCGGTACAGAGTAACTGAAAATAGTTTGCAACGCAAGGTAAGAAGTAACTGTCTATTAAACTCAGAAACTCACAGAACGGGCAGGAAAGTGTCAAATAACCATGAACTTCATGAGAGTTGTGTGTTGGTGCTGTGCTGCTTTAAACTTTAGTCTCAGCTGTGAGGAGCTGCGGGGAGTCGGACTTTGTTTACCGTCAGTAAATAAACTCAAACAGCGCATTTTTCTCCACCTTGTCCTTTTTAATTTAAAAATTATGCTCTGCTTTTTTATGTGGGTTTTTAGGTTAAAATCTTTATTATCTGTTGCTGTTTGTAATGTAAAACTCTTCCTGGTTAAAGTGCACACATTCTCCAGTAAAAATATCCCAGTTTTTATATGAAAGGCTGGTTACATATACATTATAATAACTGTTATTGTAGGGGGGACAAATTGGTGCGAGGTCTGTGGGTCCTCCCCCATAACTTTTTGAATAAAGTAGCTGCTATTTCCTGCATTCTAGTGTATATGAACAGGTTTTAAAACATTTATGTTTACCTACATAAGTAAATCGTTGATTCAATAACTGTTTTATAAAGCATGGCACAAGAAGTACCACTAAGCTTTTTGTTTGTCTTTAATTTAATTTAATTTTTCTACTTAACACAGGAAGCTGTTAGCTCTGGAAGCAAGCTGTTAAACAGCTTTGGACACAAAGATCCTTGTCACACACTTCAAAAGAGCAGGTAAAATACATATAATCTTATAATCTCTGCCTGGTGAAGCTGCTTAAATAATTATAAAATATGATAAGTGAAATAAATAAATAAAAATTGAGCTTCTGTAATTTATATTTGCAAATGTCACATTTTCTTGACTTAATTTCAATTGTAAATCTCTTGTTTTTGATAAAATATTTTTTCCCAAAAGAAATGCCATCAGATTGTAATTTGTAATCACTGTAACCCTATTTTGACTCGAGCACGTCTTCTTTCACTTTTAGGTTACACAAGGCTCTGGACTGGTCCAGCTGTAGAGAGACGAGGTGGAACACCAGACCTGCAATGCTCCAGTCTGTAAATGATGCTTTGAAGTCTGGGAAGATGCACGATATCCTGCTTCGCCGAAACGAGCTCGTTACCTCGACCACATAGACTGAACTTCTTGAGAACGTCGTCCAATGTATAATAATGCCTTTAAACATTTTTATTTGTTGAGTTCTCTGCTTGGTACATAATTTTTTTGTTTTGTTTGTTTGTTTAAACAATTTAAAACATGACAGTAATGTCACTGTTTAAAGGAAACAGTTGCTCAATAAATTAGTAAAATGCAACTTGTTATGTTTGGGTTCATTCATCTAAGGTAGACATGGTGGGACACATGTACTGGTTTTGATTTTTGTTTTTACTGTAACTGACCTTCAAAAGAGCTAGAAACAGGAACTCAGCAGCTGATCCTCTGTAGAAAAATTATATGGACTGCAGGCCATGGATTATTTGTTTTATGATATTTAGTGAAGGTTTTTGTTTGGAATAAGGAAATAAATGTCTCTATTTCACCACAGATGAACTGTTCCTGTTGCCATATCATTTGAAATAAAACTACAGAACACAAAGTAATTTAAACAGGAACGGGTAGAAGATCAAATCAAATTCAATGTATTTCCTAAAAATTAAATGAAAAACAGGAGCAGGACAGGAGTGGGAGTGATTCTGAACAGGAGCAGGAGTCATGTTACCAGGAGTGGGACAGGACAGGATTTTTTCTGTGGGACCAGGACAGGACATGAGTGAAAATCCACTCATGTGTCACCCTCTAGTGTAGACGTCTGTGATGGTGGAGAGGCTGACTCCCACAAAGTCATCCTTCTCAGTAACAAGATGCCAGGGAAGAAAAATGCTACATTAGCTAACACTGTACCGCAACACTTTAGCCTGACACCTTTGGTTTAGACAGTAACAGTTTTTTTTTAAACAAACTTTTGTGTTACTATCCAAAAGTTAGCATGCTGACTGTTGACAGAGTTTATCTTGTTGATTCTGAATAAATCAGGCTGCCTGATCAGCATCAAGTAAGTCAAATGTTGACTCAAAGATAGCTGGACCGGTGCACTGGCTGTTAAACCACAGGTATTCACTGTACAGTGAATATAAGTGCCCAGCTTTGTCTGTGCTGTACTTGATGTAGTACAAAAATCAGCCAATTGATGGCAATCACAGACTATGTCTTGCCTTTAACATGCACTAAGCTTGAGTGGTCATCCTAGGTATACTTAAAGATTCAGGTTTTAAATCATGGTACCAAACATTATACCCTTAAAATGAACCAAATACTGTTAAATATCTACTGGTAAGCATAATCACTGGACATAAAACACTAAAAATACAAGTGTCAAACACCTACGTAACTGAAATTATTTAAAAATTATATACACCGGGAAACATTACCCAGAAGTCTTAACAGGGTCAAGTGACAGGAAGTGAAATACCATAGTACAGATAAAATGTGGTACCGGTAAATATTCGTTAAATCACTGGAAAAAAGAAAGAAGAAGAAAAAAACCTGAAACAGGAAGAAGCTGAAAAGAACATGAACTGTTTCAATTATCCTGATACATGCTCAATAATCCAGGTAGAAAAATCCAAAAAAGTTCAGTCTGGTCCTCTGGCCATTCAAAAAACAAGAAAAAATAAAATAAAAAAACAAACAAACAAAAAAACAAACAAACAAAGCAAAAAAAAATGTAGAAACGTTTCGTCTCTCATCCGAGAGACTTCTCAGTCTGAGGTGCTGTATTCAGCTCAGTCTCTTAAATAGCACCTTCTCAGAGTGGATCAACCAGTTTGCTGCTGACAACCGAAACCAGCTGCTCACATGGTCAAGAAGGACCATCAGCCTAACAATGGATCATTAGCACACTGATGGCTGTTTACTATTCACAGGAGGCTGATTAAACAGGTATGGAGGCCTCCGGGTTCAACTGTCCCCCTCTTACAATGCTGTGATTGCTAGTATCACTCAGCCTCCTGTGAATAGTAAGCAGCTGTAGTGATGCAGGGACAGCTTTGCTGTAGACACACTACTAATTAATTATTCTTAAAGCTAGTTAAAGCACAAAGAATATTAATTATTTAATTACAACGGATTCTTTCTTTTTCGAGTTAAATTATGTGCCATGTGACTGAGATAACTGTGAGGATTGTTTAATCAGTGACATGAGACGCCATTTTATCTTTGACCCATCAGAATAAATGCGGTCATTTATTTAACAGAATCAAAATTTAACATCAAGACATGTACATATTGATTTGCTGATCTGTTTCTGATTAATAAAAACTTGGCACGCTTTACTAACAAGACAACAGAACATTACTGATTGAGGATGATTCACCTCTGAAGGCATCTAGATTACTGGCAAATAGAAGTTTAAGGGAAGGAATAGATAAGTTCAAAGGGAAGATGGATGAAGGAAGATGTATGTTTGTTCACCAGAATTAGCACACTTCTTTCAACACCAGCTCAAACCCCCTGGTCTACTTAGTGCGCAACAACTCGTGACGTCTCTTTACCTTTGCAGTGGATGGACAGCTCCAGTATAGAGGTCCCTTCGCACGCTACCTTTACAGCGGCTCCGGTCAGGGTGGCTGGTCATCGTCAGAAGTCGTGTGGTTTACTCCGTTCAACAGAACAAGCTTCCTTCAAAGTTGTAGGGCGTTACGCCCGGGTGAATTCACAGCGAGGCGCTGTGACTCCGCTGGGATGGATGGACCCTTGTCTCACGGTCAAATCCATCCGCTATTGATTAAATCTGAAAGTTCCTTACGAACTCGCAGGAAGACCGCCAGAAGACTCCAGGAAGACTGAAAGAAGACTGAATAGTCCCAGGAAGTGTTGACTTTTAACGAGTACTCACTTCCGGTCACTTGGTACTTCCTGATTGGTTGAAACAACCAGCAGGGGCGGTGTTTCAGTGATGTCAGAGGGTTATTAAAAGTCAAGAGGGGATGCAGGAATGTTTAGGAACGGTT